ACTTGAAGAAAGTATCGACAATTCTTCCCCAACGGCTTTAACAACCAAGAGACAAGACAACAACAAATAAACGCTCCTTCCTTCGGGATATCCACATTCTTTTAAACAACAACTACCTCCATACTCTCACACTCCTTCATAGGTTTTAATCAACTTCACTCTTTTTAGTTGATTTTAACCGTCCATTCTTTCGAAAGGTCCAGCCCAATTTCAGTTCTGGAAGAGATCAATAAATTAAAATCTTAGGAGATTCAGCGAATATTACTCCAATCATTCATTACCTTGGTAGCTGTTGATTGTTGCTCTTGTCTTGTTTGGAACTTCTTACTCTTTGTGTAAGTTGTTCATCTTCTTTTCTGGTGGTGGTTATAAATGTTGTGGTTATGAGGTGGTGTGGTGAATGGAGGAGGATCAGATACTATCCTGTCGCCAATGCGAGCATCTACACACATGGGGATGTGACTTTGGAGATTCAATAAAGATGAATAGCTTCAATCTATCTTGACCCATTCAATCTAATAACAAGGACTAACATCATCATGCGATATAGCCATAGCCATAATCAACGTCAATACCTTCTCCGATTTTTTGCTATTGTGTGCATGACATCGATACCCAATTACGACCCATTCAACGACAACTCGACGCAATAATATTTACCATACCATTCATTCATTTACATAATCATGGATTCGATATCAATGCTCAAAACTAGATCTATTCTCAACGTCCGTGACGACTCTTCAACTACCACCATGTCAAACTCAATGGTTGATCTTCTTATTGCCTTGATGATCTTGGTATTCATCGGGCTTTGTTTAACAGGGGCCTTGTACATTGTGCGCAAGCTTCGACGTAACAGAGCCGTTGCTCGTCAGCAATTGCCTTTACATAACGAGCAACCAAGATCAAATCACCGCCGATTGACTATTACGGCTACTCCCTATGGTGGCCGCGGCTCCACTATTCATGTCTATGACGAAAAATCATCCATGATGGATTCCGACCGTGCACCACTCTCACCTGAAGACGTTCCTGAAATTCGCATCACCTTCCCCGATGAGCATGATGAATCTACTGGACACAAGAAAAGCGGTCGTGTAGTGGTTGTTCGTATCGGAGAAACCGGTGTTGGCCTTGAGCCTTTGAAGGATCAGGATCAACTACCCGCTTACGAAAAGGAAACTGGAGGAACCAGATTTCAATCCATCGATATGGATCGCATCGGTGGCTTGAAGGAGAAGGAGAGCTGGTCATAAATCTTCTCTTATGACTTTGCTGTCTTTTTCCTTTCTGTCTGGACCTAACTCCCAAAATCACATGAACATACGGAGGATTCTCATACATTCATCTTGCATATAAAATTCCTTTCCACCTTCAACGTTTCATCATCACGCAATGATGTAAATGATATTGTCTCCTCGAACTCTATTCAGTTACATAATAACATCAAAATTTTCTCTCTCGAACCGGCTCATCGACAATTGTTTCCCCCCATTACCCCAATCAACTTTATGAACGGCAAAGCATGGTGTTATCAAGGCAGGATTTAGGGCAACTGGCGTCGTTCGTACATGTACCTCGATACCCTTCTCGTTAGAATTTGTGGTGGACCAATTTCTTTTTGTAGGTTGGAACTGGAAAGAAAAAAAGGAAATATTCACACAACCTACCTACCCTACCTATTTTTCGAGGTAAGGGAGTGGAACATAAAGAAACCTCTTTCTCGAACAAACTAAAAGATCAAGATCAAGATAATTGTACTTAATGTATTCTACATAATTTTCTTCAAATTATGAGAGCGCCTGTTCATTTAAATGGCTTTTGTTCTTTGTTTTTTCCTTTCTGATTTTCCTTTTTCATCTTTTTTCTTTTCTTTTCAACCTTTTTCATTTTCATTTTTGTCTGGCTATCTACTTCTTGGGAAGTCAAGAAAAGGCAGATTTACAAAGTTACGGATATATGTGGAAATAAGACCACACACACACAGAGCGAGAGAGAAATTACCTTACCTTAAGGACTTAACTTTTTAAAGTTTATGATGAGATTAATGAATGATCTTAATGTTTTTTTTATTGAAACTTTTTGAGGTCTGTTTTTTTGTGAATTTTGAGATTGTGAGATTTGGGATTGTGGTTGTGGTTGTGGTTTGTGTTGGTTGTGTTGATTGTGATGTGAATTTGGATGTGAATTTGAGTTTTGGATGTGATTTTGGATGTGAATTGTGATGTGAATTTGGATGTGAAATTTGTGTTTTGGATGTGAATTTGGATGTGTAATTTGAATCTAGATGTGCATATCTAGGTATGTATGTATATGTAAATCTAGACATGCATGTATGTGCATTTGACAGATGTCAATCAGTCAATCAATCAATCAATCAATCCGTCGATCAAACAGATAGATAGATAGACGGTGAATTTTCGTAAATTAATATTAGATTAAAACGAAACTTGGAACGGGTAGGGTAGGGTAGGGTAGGGTAGATCAGATGAAACGAAACGAAACGAAACGAAACGAAACGAGGTGGAGTGGATTGGATTGGAGTGGCTGGGGGTTGAGATTTGGATGCGGATTTGGATGGTTCGTCTGATGTTTTGGGTTTCGGGAGGGATGGGATGGGATGGGATGGGATGGGATGGGATGGGATGGGATGGTTTGGGAGGGAGGGATGTTTTGGGTTTCGGGAGTTATATGGGGGATCTTGGGGGGGAGAGAAGGGGAGGGAAAGGGAAGGGGTTCATATATTTGGTTTGGTTTGATTTTGATTTTGATTTGGATTTGGATTTGGATTTGGGTTTGGGTTTGGGTTTGGATTTGTTGCTATGAATAGATGGATCACTGGGCTCTTGGGAGGTAGGGAGGGAGGTAGGTAGGTGCGTTTGTTCGTTTGTTTGTTGGTTTGTGAGTTTGTGGGGTTTTTTGATACGAGATGAGAGGAGAGGAGATGAGATGAGATGAGTTGAGTTGAGTTAAGTTGAGATGAGGGTTTGGGAATGTCTTGGATTGGTGGAGTGGTGGAGGGTGGAGGGTGGGTTTTTGAGGGCTGGGGGGAGGTGGAGGGGGTGGGTGGTTGCTTTGAGTGTCTTTGAGGATTGGGAGGGGTTGAAGGAAAGGGATTTGGATATTTGGAAGGTTGGGAGGGGTTGAGGAAAAGAGTTGAAGAAAGGGATTTGAAGAAATGGATTTGGTGGGGTTGGAAGGTTGAAAGGGGTTGTTTGGGATTAGTAGGGAGGTGTGGAGGGGGATGAGGATGGATATATATGGAGATGGGGATGGAGATGGGGATGAGGATGAAGATGGAGATGGGGATTGTGCTTTTTGTTGTTCTTGTTTTTTGGGGGTGCGATGGATTGGATGCGTTGGATGGGTTGGATGGTTTTTCTATTTTGGAGGGGAATTCATTGGAGGGGGAGAGGGGAAGAGAGGAGATGGGGCGAATATTTAGGTGGATGGGCGAGGGGATTTGTGGAGAGGGATAGGGATGTAGGCGGGGATAAGGAAGATAATAGATTGTTGTTATTCTTTGTCTTTGGGGGCTGGGATGGGATGGGATGGATTGGATTGGTTCTGTTATCGTATGGAGGCGGAAGATGAAGACAGAAGGGAGAGGGGGTAGAGGGACTACAGGGGGGCTCAAGGAGAGGGCAAGAGGAAGGGAAGTAGGTGGATAGGTAGGTACTGGAGAGAGGTGATGGGGTGTGTGGATGTGTAAATGGGCGGGTACTGAAGGAAGGCAAGAAAGAGAGTGTGGGTATTAGAGGGAGGGAAGGAAAAGATCAGGTGAGAGAAGGGGGAGTAGATAGTATACTTGAGGTGTACTTGAGGAAGATAAAGGAGGTGGTGAGTAGGGTGGTGAATGAGTATTGAGTGGAAGAGGTGAGTAGATAGAGGAGATTGGAAATCGTAGAGTAGTGAGTAATGAGTAATGAGTGGAAGATGTGAGATTGGGTGCTAAGTAGACGAAGGTCATGTGAGGGTTGAAGAAGTTGTGGAGAATATGGATGTGTATGTTCAGGCACATATGTAGGTTCTTCAATAGGCAGGGGATTAAATTGGGTTGTTTATGGTTAAGTATTAGTTTCCATATTGATGTAGGTGAGAAGTGGATTCAATCATACATCAATATGTACTCCTTCCTTTCTCCCCTATCCCTTCTATTCTCTTGCATCTTTCACTTCTTCTCTCTTAGTTGTGTCTAAACTTATGTTGTTTTCCTTCAATTACCCCGTGGGGTCTTGTCTTTTTATCTCCCATGCTTGTGGCTTGGGTTTGAGTGGGGATCGTGGTTTAATTGATTGTTGGATTATGGAATGATTGATTGTAAGCTGGATTGCGGAGGTGTGAAGGAGGGTTGATGGGGGTTGATGGGGAATGTTTGTGGAGAGGGGAGAGGGGAGAGTGAGGAAGGATAGGAGAAGCTCAATTGAGGTTGGGGGAGAGAGGTGTGTCTGGTGGTAGGTATGTTAAGAATGCAACAGATCGTTGGTGCGGCAAATTACTCTCTACTTGTTCGGGCGAGCGGTTCACTGGATGGTTTGCATGGAACGCGATAGATAGGTAGAGGGAATATTTGAAAAGGGGATTCCACACCTCGGGGTTATCCCAGAATGTGGAAGTGAGGCTTCATAGCTCGAATCAGAAAGATGTATGTTGGTTATGTCGTGGTAAGGGGTGGGTGGAATGGCGAGATCCTTAATCTTTGGAACCATAAGACGGACTTTCTACTACGAGGTTGTATAAATAAATTGGTAGAAATAAACTTTATGTGCTGGGATGGAGGATTGGATGTTGTGTTGGAAGATTGGAAAAGGGGTGTGCAATAATTCAAGGCGTGCACATAAATCATATTGATAAGTGGAGTATGCTTGAAAAGGACACTGATGGGGCTAGAATATAGGGCTTTTACACTCCTTCCAAATGTTCTAGTATCGAGGGCTACCTACAAAAATGGACATTCGCGCCCCTGAAAGTCAGTCATATTCCGCCGTGTGAATGCTTCACATGATTGATTCGGTAAACATGTCCTTGCTTATTTCATCTGAAGGCGCAAGCTCCTCCATTCCGAAATGTCCCGTGGATACAAAATACCAAAATTCCCCATACAATTCAACGGCTACTTTGAGATATCCCTTGTAATCCTCATCCTTACATTGCCCATTCTCAATCTCGTCCTCAATCTCGTCCTCGTCGGGTTCGTACGGAGGCCAGGAATGAGTGTCTACAACATAGACAAATGGAATTTCGCCTTTTGCTGGACCTTCCAGAACAGACGCAATGACTTCTTCATTAACTAGGAGAAAGAATGCATGGGTTGGATTCAAATCAGGGTCCATATGGTGAGACGGATTGTTATCTCCAATACCAGGAACATCTGCAAACTTGCTTTATAGTAGTCAGCACTTATATCATATGTACCAATGCATCTGGACTGGCGAAACGGCAAGCACATACATGTTTAATGAGGTCATATCTGCACCTTCATCCGCGTCAAACCACCACAGCTTCCACAAGAACCTGGCACCATCTGGATCCACACCATGTTTTGCTTGTGCCTCCCACTTCTTCAGAATCAGCCTATCAAACTCCTGTCGAAATAGATTCCAGCGAGTAGAGTCGCACGCACTGTAACATGTACGATAGGCTACCGAGCCAGTGCAGTTGACAGGACACAATGAACTAGATTGTCCTTCAACCACTTCTTTGATCAATTTCACCCAGTGTCCATCGTATTCTGTATTTGGGCCCGAATCATGCGCAGGTTTAGGATAGGTTATGTTGAACGTGGTGGGCTTCTGCGGGAGTAGTCGCGGTGAGGTTGAATATAGAAGCCTGTTCAAAGCACGATGAGAATAATGGTGATCAAGATTGCAAGATGATTGAGGCAATATTAGCGCTCGGCGGGAGAGCACTGCTTGGAGAGCGCGACGCATTGTTGAGGTGAAGCAAGGCTATGCAGTCATGGTCAAGGCCTGCATCAATAATAAAAAGGCAAAGGTAGGAGAAGTTTCGCCCTAGAAATTCACTTGAACAGGGTACAATAAGTTAATTAGAAAGTGAATATACTTTTCTGGCGTATTGTCATGGTAACAATAGCCGGCGACTCTCGAGTCTCAACTTGATTGGTGCACTTGAGCTCTCGTCTCATGTTTGAGCCATCTTGTCCTATCCTTCGTTCAAAAGATTTCCTATATCCATGGTCACTTAATTCCTATGGAATTGTTCCTTCCAGTAACGTTAATATCACGTATCACATCCAAAGATAATCTGGATATCAAATGTTCGTTGCGTAGGTAGGTACTCCTTGGACGTTCCAAAGAATTATACAAGTACCTACTAGGTACGGTGGCCACAATCGAGAGATTGACGAGCCAATCGTCGTGATTGTGCCAAGCTGCTTCGTCTTGGCTACCGTACTGCACTGCCTCTCCCACGTTTGTCGACGGGACAAACCCAGACCGCCGAATTATAATTCTCTTATTGTATTACTATCTGAAGCTTCTATGTGGTTCAACGTCACCCAGCCTTCAAATCCCAATGCCAACAATGCCGGCAAGGGGAGAGCCCGAATCACCTCGTGTGTCCACACCTTGGCTAAATAAGGTATATATGGAGTTATCCCCGGTTACGTTGACAGCCACGCTTGGCAATCGATCATCCGAAAATTGAGTTCATCATGAAGTTGACATGTCACATCAAAACATTGTTCCGCCGTGCAATGCAGGAACCCATTTCGCTACCGACACGATAAGATCACCAACATCACTCTTCACATACCCATTCATTTGGTAAACTGGGGTACGCTTTCCATCTTTCAATCGATTTGCCCCAGTTAAAAGCGGTCTAATTGAAGCTTAAAATTGCTTAAATTTGCTTAAATTTTCTACCCTTGCTTACTACAAGCAAGCCAAATTAAACGAATACGGCACCTCATGCATATGAGAACATCGCTAAGCTGGCGATTAGTGCTTCGTGAAGCTATTGAGTTTGAGCTTGTAAGTTCTAGATTACAAGTCAAGTAATGATCCCGGAGAACGTCACACCTTGGCCTGCTTGATCTTCGAGTTTCTACAAAAGCCTCTGGTGTCACTGTAACATCACTCGGATGTCACAGAGGACCATCTCTACCTGCAAATTCTCGACCCATGATTCTGCGTTTGTCGACGCCTTCATTATTCGTCCCCAATACAAATAATGGTTCCTCAAAGAAATGTTTGGGGAAGACCACGCGGTTATGTTATCTCTTGGTTAGCTTCTCATGCTCTTGCCAAGAGAGGCTGTGTGGTTGTCTTGATATGTCACTTACTTTTGAGTTTCGTCCCATAACCCCGTCTTGATATGTCACTTATCTTTAAGTTTTGCCATATTACCCCTCACCAAAGGAGTCTTGATAAACCCTACTAGAGGAGCTAGTGCTAACGAACATATAAACCGTTATACTTCCTTCATTCTTTCATAAGTTTTGTCCTGTTCAGTAAATCAACTGCACATAAATTCAATGATGTTTCTTTCACGCTTTTTGGCTGGTGCTATTCTGGCGTGTGAGTGATATTTCCCCTGCTTCTACAGTCACCACTAATCGATTAGCATCGATAATATCCGCTCAGAATGTCTCCTACTGTACGGGTGATGTATGTTTTGCCGTCAACATACCAGCCTCGACTGCTTCGAGTGGCTCAGGGGATATATATATACAGATGAGTGGACCAGATACAATGTCTTGGATAGGCATTGGACAAGGATCCGCTATGAGAGGTGCCAACATTTTTGTAATGTACGCCGATTCGACTGGGAGCAATGTCACAATCAGTCCTAGGCTCGGCGTTGGGCATGTAGAGCCAAATTTCGACACTTCTGCTCAGGTCACTTTACTGGATGGTTCTGGTATAATAAATGGTCAAATGGTAGCCAATTTTAGATGTATGTTCGGAATCAAAACCATCTGGCACCTGTTCTAACCATTCGGACAGGTTCAAATTGTGATGGCTGGAGCGGTGGATCTATGAGCTTCACTGATTCTTCCTCGTCATGGATTTGGGCCCATAAGACCGGCGCTGCATTATCGTCCAACAGCGTCGATGCAGATATCGAATTTCATGATGCATACGGAGTAGCCACTTTGAATTTACAGACAGCCACCGGCGGAGAAAGCACGAACCCATTCTTGACGGTTGGATCCGTTTCTACGCCCAGCCAAACATCCTCTGGCGCTAGTGATGCTGCGATTGGACCATCTGACATAACGAGAGTGACCATCGCACATGGCGTTTTGGCTTCCCTTGCCTACGTTATTCTCTTCCCTTCAGGTGCGATCGCGATTAGGATCTTTAATTTCCGTAATTTGCTATGGCTCCATGCCGGCTGGATGGTTGGCGCTTATATAATTGTACTTGCGTCACTTGGAATGGGGGTATGGATCGCACACATGTCTAATCTCCTCGGGAGCACCCACTCAATCATAGGCCTTGTTGTCGCCGGATGTTTACTACTTCAGCCTATCACTGGATTGACGCACCACATGTTATACAAGCGTCGCGGTGGTTCCAATGTTGCAACTTATCCCCATGTTTGGTGGGGCCGTGCGGTTATTACTCTTGGTATTATCAACGGTGGCTTAGGTCTGAGGTTAGCTGACAATAGTAAAAAGGGTGAGATCGCATACGGCGTGATCGCGGGTTTTATGTGGGTTTTGTGGGTAGCAGTCATTCTTTTTGCAACAGTGAAGATCAGAGAACGTCGTGGCAGTGGTATGGGTGGATCTGGAACCTCAGTAATCAGGGAGAAGTCAAGTACGGAAGGATCCTACTTCCACGATAACTCGTCGCCTCCTCAATCTATGCAGGGAGTACATGATCCTGCTAGATTACCTACATCTCATCGTACTTAGACCTTATAACGATTTTTCATACGTCAAACTGGGACAGTTATTTATGATAGACGCCACAAAGCCTGTCTAGTAGGGCTGGATGCTAGTAACAACACAGGATGAGTCTTGGAGGGGGGGGGCAGGGGGGAAGTTGTTTTCATATTGTTTTTAGCGAATATTCTTCATCTTCATCTTGGATAATGGTTTTTAACACGGTAAAATTTACATAAATTAAATTCATTGGTTCTACCACTTAAAATCTTGATTTTACTTAATTCCTTCAAATCGTAACGAAATTTCAAAGATTCTCACGTGGTAAATAAAGATTGAGGGTTGAGTTTCGTTAGGGCGGATTACATAATGGCACTGCATCCTAGCATCTTAAAGACGACTAGTGATTCCTAATCGATGTTGCTCCCTCGCAAATAATAAGCAATTTTCTTCACATCACCAATTTCATTATGGGAGTAGGACGTGTGCTCGTCATCGCGGGTTCTGATAGTTCCGGTGGAGCGTTAGTATTCCGGCATCCTCCCTTTCCGCAATTTTACCCCGCCACAGACTAATGGTTATCATCTCAGCGGAATTGAAGCCGACCAAAAAGTGATTGCTGCTCATGGGTGCTATGCTATGACTGCCACAACAGCCTTGACGGCTCAAAACACTCTGGGGGTTGAGGATATTCATTATGTTCCTGCCGAGTTTGTTGGGAAGTTGATTGATGTGTCAGTTGGGGATGTGGGGGTTGATGTAGTGAAAACTGGTAAATTGCCCGAGACTTATGTCTGAATTGACGATGAGATGATCATGAATCCGGATAGCTTAGATACTGACGATATGTTAAGGTATGCTAGCATCTGGAGAAACAGTAGAAGTGGTGGCAAAAGCATTAAAAAGACATCACGTGAAATCTTTGATCGTTGATCCTGTGCGTTCATTTTCCCAAAATCGACGTACAAGTTGTCTGACATCCAAGAGGTAATGATCTCTACAAGTGGATCACAGCTTTTGCCTTCTACAGCAATCCGCCAGCTACGAGAACTTCTGTTTCCCTATACCACTGTTCTCACACCCAATGTGCCTGAAGCGCAACTACTCCTTTCCGATGCTGGCAAGTTTGTCGAAGAACCTAAGAACTTGGATGACTTGAGAGAGATAGCGAAATCGGTACAATCACTGGGCCCAAAATATGTACTAGTGAAAGGAGGTCATCTGCCTTTACAGAAAGATGGAACAGTAGCTACTAGGGAGGAAGAAAAAGAACTCATGGTTGATATTTTGTACGGAGAGGGAGTCATCACAGAAATCCGGACTAGGTATCAGAAATCACGGAACACCCATGGAACGGGATGTTCGATGGCTTGTGAGTTTATTATTCATGTATACCTGGTGAAACAGAAGCTAAATGGGAGTAGCCGCCATTGCTTCGAACATTGCGAATGGACTATCTGTGGTACAAGCTGTGAGAAGCGCTTGTCGATACATTGAAGCAGGAATACGAACAGCGCCAGACTTGGGGAAGGGTAATGGTCCGATTAATCATTTCCATTCGACTTACACCTTACCTTTCGCTCCGTAAGTCTATCTTCCCAAGTGATGCTAAGTTCCTGAATTGATCATCGCAGGGGTCACTTTGTGGAATACCTTCTGGACAGACCGGATGTTAAAGGAGCGTGGCGAGACCATACTGAGCATGCATTTGTTAAAGGACTTGGAGACGGGACCTTACCACTGGAGTCATTCAAGTACTACCTTATTCAAGACTATCTTTACCTTGTCTGTCAGAGCATTCAAACTTTTATCCATATGGTCTAACAATTTACAGGTGCAATTTGCTAGGGCTACTGCTTTAGCTTCGTACAAAGCCAAAACTATGGAAGGCATTGCTGCAGTATGAATATAGACCCTTTCTGGATATGGTGTGTGCTAACTCTTGATACAGTCTGCAGGTATCGTACTTCATATCCATCGGGAGATGGCGCTGCATATCAGTTACTGTGAGGGTTTTGGTATGACAAAAGCAGAGATAGAAGCCTGCGAAGAGAGCCAAGGTAAGCTTCTTCGCGTTCACAAATCGAATTAATTTTGACAGTACCGAAATAGCATGCACAGCATACACAAGGTACATGGATATCTCTCCCTTGATAGCAATGATATACTAAAAACTGATAGGTATGTTCTCGATATCGGACAATCTGAGGACTGGTTGGCTCTTCAAATATCCATGGCGCCTTGTCTTATCGGCTACGGGGAGATAGCAAAACGATTACATGCAGACCCGAAGACAAAACGGGAAGGAAATGTCTATTGGAAATGGATAGAAAATTATGTTGCAGATGATTATACGGAAGCAGTGAAAGTTGGATCAGGTATGTGACAGAATAACCCTACAACTCATGGGGATTGGACAGTATTGACCATTCGGGCAGCTTTGCTTGAAAAACATGCTCTGCTGCAGTCACCCCATAGGATAGAGGAATTGGTCAAAATATTTGTTCATGCAACAAAGGTACGCATCTTTTAACTAGTTGGAATACCTTTTTCAGAGATCGAAAAGCTGCGTACTTCCATACGCTTCCCTCGGCCTGGAACCTGTCTGCGTTGTAATATGGGGGTAGCAAACACACCTGGACAACGGGCGTAAGAGGAATATCTACCGTGCAGCACAGAGAAAGCCTCAGAAACAACACAGAGGCGAGAGAAATACACATAAAAACATTTACTAATTGCCTTGCAGATGGAGACCGGATTCTGGGACATGGGTGGCGGTGGAGGGAAAAATTGAAATGTAGAATCTTCAAGGTATAGAACCGGGTCCGCAGTAGGTAGCTCTAAGGTACGAGGGTACGTACAAAGTACGCGAGGTACGGAGTAGAAGATAGTCACGACGGCAAGGTAAAAAAGCTTTCAGACGTGGATATACCCAGTTTAAGAGGGATAGAGAAAGAAAAATTGCATTCAGAGATTTACAGTATTTTGGAACAATCTGATTGTTTTGATTGGCTGAAAGAAAAAGAAAAATTCAATTGGAGACAAGATCTTATTTCAGGGTCCAAGAACAAGAAAAATGGATAGCGCTAAATCCTGATTGGGCTTAGTCACACCTCTCTCATGCTAATCCCAAAAGAATATAGCGTAGCTTCCTTTCTACTTTTTTTTACTCAAACCTCTTCTTCCTCACCTTCCATTGCTTTTTGACTTCTTCTCATCAACAACAATAATTTCATCTGCCAGACTTCTTCTCATCAACTCAAGAAGTCATTTTCGCAGTAATCATCAAAGCAAATCTCAAATCACCATCATAACATCACACTCTCTTTCAATTTCTCACTCTCAAAAACTATCGCAAATATGTCATATGGAGGAGGATATGGTGGCGGCGGCCGTGGTGGCGGTAACGGGTACGGAAATGGAGACTCCTCATATGGCAGAGGCAACTCTTACTCCAATGGATATTCGAATGGGTATGCAAAAACCTACGAGTTTAGATATTGTTGATAAGTTTTCGCGCATCGCGTTGCATTGTGTTAAGTGTGTGGGAGATAAGGCTAAGGCTAGCGTTTCGCTTTGAAGCCGAAGCCTAATCTCTCATCGCCATCACAATGTAGCACCATTTTATTTCATTCATTCATTCCGACTTGCTGATATTTACTGACGTGTAATTTATAGTGGATCTAATGGATACTCTGGAGGCGGTGGAGGTGGTTACGGAGGTGGCAGAGGTATGCAAACAGAATTTTACTCGATTAGAATCATCACTAACAATTTTCACAGGCGGCGGAGGTGGTGGTGGAAATGTCAACGGCTACTCTGGAGGTGGTGGTGGTGGATACGGAGGAGGTGGTGGATATGGCGGAGGTGGTGCTGGTGGAGACCGCATGAACAACCTTGGTGCTAACCTCCAAAAGCAAAACTGGGGTGAGTTCGAAAGGCTGTTGATAAAAATTCCGCAAAACAAAATGCTAACTTCCACACGCAGATCTCAACACCATGCCAAAGTTCGAGAAATCTTTCTACAAGGAGGATCCAGTCGTTGCTGCTCGTTCAGAAGAAGATGTTGCCAAATTCAGAGCTCAGCACAACATTGCCGTTCAAGGCCCAAACATTCCAAAACCCGTCGAGACATTCGATGAGGCTGGATTCCCTGCATACGTCATGACCGAAGTCAAGGCCCAAGGTTTCCCAGCGCCTACTCCAATTCAATCTCAGGGTTGGCCTATGGCTCTCTCTGGACGTGATGTTGTTGGTATTGCCGAGACTGGTTCCGGAAAGACCCTCACCTACTGTCTTCCAGCTATCGTACACATCAACGCACAACCACTTCTCGCTCCTGGTGACGGCCCAATTGTCTTGGTCCTTGCACCTACCCGTGAGTTGGCCGTTCAAATTCAACAAGAAATCACCAAGTTCGGAAAGTCATCCCGTATTCGCAACACTTGTGTTTACGGAGGTGTTCCTAAGGGTGGTCAAATCCGCGATCTCGCCAAGGGTGTTGAGGTCTGTATTGCCACTCCAGGTCGTCTCATTGATATGATCGAGTCTGGCAAGACTAATCTCCGTCGTGTTACATACCTTGTTCTCGACGAGGCCGATCGTATGTTGGACATGGGTTTCGAGCCACAAATCCGTAAGATTCTTGGACAAATCAGACCAGACAGACAAACTTGCATGTGGTCTGCTACCTGGCCAAAGGAAGTTAGAGCCCTTGCCTCTGATTACTTGAATGAGTTCATTCAAGTCAACATTGGTTCCTTGGAGCTCTCTGCTAATCACAGAATTACTCAAATCGTCGAAGTTGTTTCTGAATTCGAGAAGCGCGATAAGATGACCAAACATTTGGAAAAGATTATGGAAGATAAGGATAACAAGATTTTGATCTTCACAGGAACCAAGCGTGTTGCTGACGATATTACCCGCTTCCTTAGACAAGATGGATGGCCTGCGCTCTGTAAGTACTATTGTGAACTTCCACGTGAACATCACTAACAAAATTTAGCTATTCACGGTGACAAGCAACAAAATGAGCGTGATTGGGTATTGAATGAATTTAAGACTGGCAAGAGCCCGATCATGGTTGCTACTGATGTAGCTTCGCGTGGTATTGGTATGATTAAAACCCCCTCCCCCCTCACAGCAACGTTCAGTAGCCTTTTTAGTGGTGCTTTACTCTCGACGCTTCGGCGCTTCCTAGATTGCGTTACATTGCCCGGGCCCTATCGTATCTTTCGGTTCTCTAATTCTAGGGTGTCTTGGATCCTTAAGTGTAGCATGACCGTGCTGCGCTCGTAATTCCAAACTCGACAGTACTTTAACAGGTACCAGATATGGAATTGGCATTTCTTGACTTGATCAAGCTGTCTCCAAGACTCCCATCCCAGAGAGCCTGGATGTGTTGGATCACCTACCCTGGCATAAGCCGCATTGGACAGTTTCATGCCAGTCGCCGAGAGAGTATTGGATGCAGTCAAATGCAGCTTCTTCATGAGCCGCCCTGGACCGTTGCTATACCAAATTTTTCTGTTCTTGCTAACCCATCAATGAAGATGTCCGAAACATTACCCATGTGTTCAACTATGACTACCCTAACAATTCGGAGGATTATATCCATCGTATTGGTCGTACAGGTCGTGCTGGACAGAAGGGAACCGCAATCACTCTCTTCACCACTGACAGTATGTCTCCCGTCCGCTTTGAGGTTTACATTGGCTAACAATATTCCCTAGATCAAAAGCAGGCTCGTGATCTCGTGAACGTTCTCACTGAAGCTAAGCAGGTCATTGATCCTCGTCTTGCTGAGATGACCAGATATGGAGGTGGTGGCGGAGGCAGAGGTTATGGTGGACGTGGCTACGGCGGTGGCCGTGGGCGTGGTGGCGGTGGTAAGTTATTCTAAATCCTCCTGCCTTCTCACTCTTCCTTGTTCCATCAAACGATGGGACTAACAGAGCCGTTGGTAGGCAATTTTTCATCTTCTAACGCCGCTCCTTTAGGTGGAGGCAGACGTTGGTAAGATGTCTTATCCCGGTCGATCGAAACGGAGTTATAACAACCACGACTATCGATAACCACCTTTGATGACGACGAAAAGACGTATATTCATCCCATGGTCGTTTTGGCGTTTTGGTTCTCTTAAAAAGGGTAGGGAGGGGTAGAATTGTCTTACGTGATTTCTGCGCACCCTTTCAAAAATTCTTCTGTAATCTGACTTTTCTTTCTCTTTTATTTTATGAAAAAATTGGGTGGCATTGCCATGAATTAGACTGAGGGTTGAGGCTCGATGGATGGTATTATAGATTGCTTCACATTTCCATGTCCATCTGACGAAGAGATGAAGGCTAGGACTTGTATGTGCTGTTAACTTGCGTTCCTTCTTTCATAACTAGATTGCTCTCTGTAGCTAGTTCTAACTGGAAAATATCTCGTATTAGATTAAAAATAGTATAAAAATATGAGATCGTTTTCTTCTCGAACATTGGCGTTCTACAATTCCTTGTTCAGTGTATGTTTTTTGTGCAGCTGTTTTTTTGGGTATGGAAAGGTTCATCTGCAAGCAAAGTGAAATTGGCGCAAGTTCTGCGAAAATTCCAGTTGGTGCCCGTACATAAATCACAGTTTCATCAAGTAAGAGAGCAAGATGTGGTATTCTGAATAGTAAAATTGGAGCTAGCGATGAGAGAAGCAAGACATATCTACCTTTTCCGCGCATGCTGTAGTTCCAAGGTTCTACCCACCTATGCGGTAAAATACCACAATTAACCAATGAACACAACCTCAGTGGGAGTGGCCGTGCTTGCACTTGTGCTTGTGAGTATGTTAGAAGCTGGAGTAGGCGCAGAAACACAAACAGAATCCCCAATTATAAGGAGCGTGCAGTTTTGAAGCACGGCTGGGTTCCAGGCAAGGAATTGCTCGAACAAAATCCCATATCGAAGCTCAATACTGGGGCACGTATCACCTGGCTGGACGGTATAGAACTCGCTGCAAGTAGAAACGATGCCCGATTGAGCAGGTGCTGGTGGTGCACTCGCGGCGCTACTCGAAGTACCAACGCAAAAGGATCGAAAAGAGGTAGAATTCAACCCTGAATAGAATCCAGAACAATCGGAGTTTACCCATGGGTTCAAAGCGTAAAACTTTGGCAGATCGATGGCATAAAATTTGAGAGTATTATCGCACGTGATGTCTTGAATTGTTTTAGCTCTTATCATATGCTGAAAGATGGGAAATATTTACCTTCTATATCGCCTCCGTACATGGAGCCATAGGCATCGCAATTTTTAGCTGTCCCAGGTGGGGCATCCGTGGCGGTAGCAGCGATGAATGGATTATTGATGCTTGTAGATGTTGGGACGATGGCTATACTTGTCAGGTCATACTAACACGAAGATAGAACCAACTTACTCGGAGTAGGCTTATATCTTTGAATACAATAACGATACCCGGGCGAAAGAGTACAATTTGTAGGATCCTGTGCTGCCAACGATGGGTTCCATGACAGGAAGTTTGCCAGTGTGATTTCTTCTATGCCGGCTACCCAGTCACATTTATTGATATCTCGTTCAAGTTTCAGAAATGTAGTATTGGTCGTGTTCAAGGAATAGTATTCCCGATACTCGTAACAGGTGGGAATTGTGTCCGAAGCTACAGGGTCCAGCCATTTTATCGTTTTGTTTCCAACAACGGAGGCCCCCTCGCTCCAATACGGTGCACTTGGGTAGAGAGTAATATCAATCGGCAGGAGGCAAGTCGAGGGCGGCGATGCTTGGAGGCAAGGATTTGCTGTAATTGTGGCTTTTTGAGACGAAGTGTACGTGGATATAGAGCCTACCGCTTCTACGCAGTAACTTTCGCCGGCTATAATGTTTGTGCAGTTGCTGTTGATATTAGGGCTCAATGGGTTAGTACCACAACACTTCAACTGGTGAGTTAGGTAGAGGGGCTGACACACTTCAAAAAGTAAAAGTCTATGAGAGATATACTTTGTTGAATAGACACCGAGGCACAACTATCTCCCGCTTGTATCACATAGTATTTTGCGCAATAGATGTTTGTACCGTTGGCGATAGTTGCTGGCACAGGCCTATATCGCAGTTAGCTAAGCACCTCGAGAATGTTGTTGTAACCGTGTGCTATGAGCCTCACTAATGATCAATAGCGAGAGACATTTCACTTACGCGGCAGTCATCATGGAATTTGGTGAAGTGTCACTGGTAGATGATTTCCATCCTCCTCTGGGGCTTATACATATTTCTGTGCCGTAAAGCTGGCCTAGGTTACCACATGCTATGTTGATATTTGGATTCCAGGAGCTGAGTTGTGTCAAAGTGATGTCTCCCGGGACGGTGGAAATGATGCTTCGACATGTGTCGTTCTTACCGACTGTGTATACATCACATTGTTTTGGTATACATACGGATTTTCCAGGAGCTGGAAAATTGGCGCAGTATGCCTGGAGATTATTCTCGTACAGCAGCCAAAATGTGGATACTTTTTGAGTCCGCGCGATTGAGTTGCAATCTTCTCCATTCTTTATGGTATATGGGGTAGCACAAGGAGTTGGCGTGGCTGTGACAGAAGAGGTCGATGAGCTGTTGAGGGCGATAGCAGTTGGTGATGTGTAAGGATATCCTGTCTTGCCACAAGATGATGTGGTAGAAGCGAAATCGACAGCTGCATCAGACAAGTACCCGTATGGTGAACCAAGCTCGAGTTGTTGGATTCCAAGTGCACAATCGGAGCAATCTTGCTCTGCTTTTTCCGCAGTTGGTGTGGTCCATGAGTCGAATACTGAGCTGCAAAATTGAGCAGAAGCACTAAGTTTTGTCCGGGAATATTAGCTGCTGTGCCTGGTTTTCTTGAAAAGGGAGTTAAGATAAAACTCACACGTCTCTCAGACATAATATCTCATAATAGTATAAGTACCGGTCAGGCCAAGTTGATGCTGGGTATGCCAAATTATCCTCACCTGAAACAAATACATCGGAGAAGGTACAAGCTTTTTTCGTGGATGATTGGTAAACTTGTAAGGATTCCTTACATGTTGGAATGCAAAGCGATGCCAAAGAATCGACGTCGAGATATACACCAGGAGTCCAAATCGCTGTCGGAAGGCTATCATTACAAGCAACAGAGCTGTTCAAAGCATTGAGACAAAGTGTAGATATACCAGGAAAACCGACATCAACTAATGAGTTATGGAAGACTTGAGCATCATTGATTCCCACGAACAATAACAACAATGTCCACCTCACAAGAGATGTTAATCCGACGCATCCTTTGGTTAGGACCAGGTTATGAGATACCCAACAATCAGATGTCATAGTGTGTTATAGACAGTTGTCTTGAGTGACGGTGTGATGAATGAGATCCTGTCCGTTATCTCTGTGTTTGTGTTCAATATTTATACTTGTTGATATCATCTGCACTCTTCTAGCTCCAATGGAGGTTCCCGAGATGAGCTGAGGAAATTTTCGTTAATTTAAATTTGTTCGTGAGTATTTTCAAAAGGCAGCATGCACAATGAATGAAGGAGCACGCTAAGAATTCTCACTCCCTTCGTTTAGTAAGATATCTTTGCCCTCTGCCATAATTTTAACTCTCACAACAGTAATTTTTCACAAAAAAACTTCCAGTCTATTGACAAAAATATCACAGGCTTGTTTTGATCTTTTTCAATAGCGGCTTTTTGGCTTCATCAGCCGATTGGTAGCTGATATGTCTTTTCATGGCTCTCTCAAGTATTATGTTCTCATATTTTGCGGGTTACTCGTGTCTATAAGCATTCTATATACCTCTTTCTTTCCAGTCTTTGGTGCCCTCTTCTCTGATACCCACGCCGAGTCCAATTCTCAAGATCTTTTGTCGCTTTCAGATGCCATCTCAAATGTTGAATTTTTAAGAAGAGATGACTTTTCATGGTATGTTCTCTTCCACTGTGTGCTCTCGCTGAAATAAAGACTGATTATGGGTCTAGTTCCGTCTCCAAACCTTGTCCGAATGGAGCTTGCTGTGGAGGTGCATTTGAGCCTTTATTCTGCGGCTATGGCGATACATACTGTGGCGATACCTGTGTATCCAACTGCAGTACTGTGGCCGAATGTGGCAAAGATGCAAAGGTAGCTGGGGCTACATGTCCATTGAACATCTGTTGTAGTCAGTAAGTTTTAGAATTTCCGATCGAGTAAATCACACGCTTAACTTTTGAAACAGATATGGTCAGATGGCTGCCGTTTGTATATTTATCAATGTCAAGTACTGACGCTGGTGTTAGGATTTTGCGGTACCTCTTCGGATTTCTGCGATGTTTCTTCATGTCAAAGCAACTGCGGTACACCCTCGCTTCCTGATGGAGGAAGCTCATTTGATGTTCGAAATAACGTCATTGGATATTACGAGTCATGGTAATGTACTTGTGGTGTAGTTTCAGCTGTAAGTCCTTACTGACAAACACAGGTCTGCATCCCGTGCCTGTCACTTGTTTCCTCCGAATGCAATTCCAGTCGATGGACTTCAGCGTGTCAATTTTGCCTTCGCCTATATTGACCCAAACACTCTCGAAGTAACAACGATGGACAGCACGATCAACGAAGATCTATTCAAGCAAGTTGCAGATGTAAAAAGTTCGACGTCTGGGAATGCTGCTTTGGAGGTGTATGTTTCAATCGGGGGTTGGGCTTTTAGCGATGATCAAACTGCTACACAGCCACTATTTCCTAACATTGCTGCGAATGCAGAAAACCGAACACTGTTTGCTCAAAATGTCTTGCAGTTTCTAACGAATTATGGATTCGATGGCGTCGATTTAGACTGGGTAATATTTGTTCCTTGTTCACAGCACTCATAGCTAAATTCATGTAGGAATATCCAGGAGCAGAAGATCGTGGTGGCAGTGATACCGATGTGCAAAGCTATCCCCTGCTTGTCAAGCAATTACGAGAAACTTTCGATAACAGCCCAAAAGGAGATAGTCTCGGCATAACCTTTACAATTCCCTCCTCGTACTGGTACCTTCGGTGGTTCGATCGTCCGAAAATGCTACCGTATGTTACCTCGATTAACATGATGACCTATGATTTACATGGGGCTTGGGATAGTCACAATCACATTGGAAGTATTGTGCAGGCCCACACAAATCTCACCGAGATTAAGCTCGCGATGGAACTTTTATGGAGAAACAATATCCCACCTGAAAAGGTTGTTTTGGGGCTTGGATTTTATGGCAGAGCTTTCACACTATCCAGTACTAACTGCCAGACCCCTGGATGTCTGTTTTCTGGCGCATCTGATAAGGGTCCTTGTACTGGAGAGGGAGGAATCTTAGGATATTTTGAGATCCAAGACATTCTCAATGACCCGAATCAGAAAATTGACGTTAAATATGATGAGGCTGCTGCGATCAATTATTTCACTTACAATACCGATCAATGGATTTCTTATGATAACGAAACAACATTCAAACAAAAAGTTGAATATGCCAACAGCATTGGGTACGTATAAATAAGCTTCAAATCCCTCGGTTGTCAACGATTTTTAACACTTATCCACACAGACTTGGTGGGCTTTTGATATGGGCTAGTAAGTATTCACACCATCCACGCTATTATATACTAATTTTTTATAGTCGACATGGATGACAATAATTTTTCGGCACTCTCTGGATTACTTGGCCGTGAAAACCTTGGCTCCATCAGCTCCAAAGCTCTTGAAGATCAGGCTATAGTTGACACTTCAGATTGGGCATCCCAGAACGGCCAGAAATGCTATATGGGTACATGCGGAGGTGGATGTCTTCTTGGAAAGGAGGTCGAGATTAGCCGAGCCAATAGTTGTAGCGGAGGTAAACCAATATGCTGTCCAATTGATGCTGCACCTTCTTGTACTTGGAGAGGGGGAGAGAGTGGACGGAGCTGTCATGGAACTTGCCATACTGGTGAAGTTACTTTATTCTATGATAAGTAAGTGCAGCCCTTCTATTTAAATTCAATGCCGCTGATACAATCTAGTTATGGAATAGATGGCCCGAAATGCTTCAGTCCGGGGCAAAAGGTGTTTTGCTGTAAGACAACAACTTATACAGAGGTAATAGAGTCATGCAAATATGCAGGATGCGGCAAAGATTGTGATACCGGTTATGAATCAGTCGCTAGCAAATATGATCCTTGTAAGTCAATACAGATTTTAGTTCTCGGGTCTAGCTTACTAACCTTTCGCAGTGATTTGTGCATTTGATCAGGGAGGTTCAGGTCCACAAGACCGAAAGCTTTGCTGTCCGACTAACCCGCATATTAGCGGATGTCATTGGGTAGGTAAAGGTGGCTGTGACCAGAATAATTGCGATGAGTAAATTTAATCCCCTCCATCACACCGAATATAGCTCTAACCTCACGTGTAGTAATGATATACAGCTTGACTTAGATGACTACGGAGATTCTCACAAGCTTTGTTCACTTTCAGGACGTTCTAAATCATTGTGCTGTAATGCTCCGACCAGCGATAGTCCATTTCTCCCCGTGGCACTGGATAGAATATTTCCAACACTACCCGAGAAAGTAGATGTACCGAAATGGGACTTGCAAGCCTTGGGGTTGCCTATGAATATAGGACCCGGTGCAGGTGGTGTCGATAATCAAGGATTTGGATTTGTACTTATTGATGGCCCTAGTGGTGTGGTGACTACTATGAGCAAACGAGATGGCTCGGATTATGTTTTTTTGGGCTGTCCCGTAGGGAAAAGCCGACAAAACGTACGGATTTTCTGTAATTCTAACAGTCTCCCATCTAACTGTCATGAATTACTCGAAGGTGGAGTCGATGGAACCATTATCAAGCTACCAGAAGGCTGTGGTCCGGGAACATATGCTGTTGCTCACAGTCTGTCCTTATCCGATAATCAGAAGCTTCCTTCAATCTATACAGGCGCAGCGAATCGGACAGTATCAGATCTAGAAATCAGCTATGACTTCGGTCTTGTTAAAAGAGATGCTGGGGATGTCTACATACGTATTGACTACAGCAATCTCGAAAGTTATTGGAACACGGTCGTCAACAGTGCTGGCGAGTCGAAAAAAAGATCTACTGATGATATTTCGAAGAGATTTTTTAGTCCAAATGCAACATCATGGAAATCTAGTAGGTTTATTATCATTTACACTTCCAATAGTTCAAGATACTAATGATCTTAGGATTTGATGATGTTCGAAGTGAAGCATCAGGTGACCTCGACCACACTCTTTTCGCAAAAGCCTTCACATCTCCACTATACAGTAGCAGTAAGAGCTGTGAAGGTGAGGATGACAACTATGCCTCCATCGGTTTCAGTGGAAATGTCTCATCAAAAACAAGATTTGGTTATAGTTTTGTTGGTACCATTGTCCCGTTCAACATTGTACAGGCCTATGGTTTCTCAGAGAGCGAGATTGAAGTAATCGCTATGCTTGACATCCAAGTATATGGTGGACTGAAGCTTCCTAATACCCGAGCAAATGTATTCCCTAGTCCAGTGACCTCCAAGGAATTCAGCGTACCCGGCCTCATTCACATAAAGCCTAGTCTGCAGATTGTCGCTACACTAAATGCTAATATTGAGATGGCAGCCGACTTTGAGGTATTCTTCAATACATCAACACCGACCCCAATCACGCAATACTATCCTTCCTCTTTGGGGACTGCTAATGGTAGCTCTGAAATGCAGGCTATGCTATTAGGCGATGGATTCTCGGATTCAACGGCTGGCACGGCTAGATTTGGGTTTATGCCTACTATGCAATTGGACATTACAATCGATTCATACAGCACGGGCAAAGTAGAGATACATGAGAAAATTAGTGCATTTCACGATGCCTTTGTGGCCATTACATCCGACGACAAGAACTGCCCTTCCTTGCAAGCAGGTATTAGTGGTGCTCAAATTAGCCTGGAAAGTGTCGCAGGTTCTTTTACGCCCTGGAGTGGTGATGACACCTCTCAGCAAATATTGAGCCATACAAAGTCTTCCGATCTGCCGACGATATGTCCTAGATCATTCTCTGGAAAATCCATGATATCGCGAGATTTCCCTAATGATGTGATAAAATACCCCGCTCCTTATGTTTTTGGCAATTATTATCTCATCACATGTGCTGTGGGGCTGGGTGCAGGAGATTTATTTATTGGACCTCAACCAGGAGATCCAGAGTTCTGTTCCACTTCCCCTGAAACGTTTCCATATTCCGGGATATTCGATGACGATGGCTCAGAACTGGAATATGAAGACCCGGAAGATATTGGGCCAGACTCGGGTATTACTAGCCTAGGGTTCCGATCTATTGAGGAGAGAACCGCTTGGCGTCAGTTTCCAGCCTTTGCTATTGGCTTCACAAAAGCGACAGTAAAGTCTGTATCGTATCCCAACTGGCAAAGATTACTCAAGTACACCGCGTTCGTATACCGCAATTACGGGCAAGACTTCTCTAAAGCTGCGACACAATGTGCAGTGCCGATTTTGCTTAATAATTTACCACGTACCACAGAAACAGTTGTTGAGCATGTATTCGAACAACAAGTACTGGCCAAATTTATCTTTACGGCATCGGGAAATGTCAAGAAATTCCCTTCTGGTTTGATACCTACTCGCGCTATAATACCAACCGCTGCATGGGATGCATTCGCAACGATACAAGTTAAAAGTGTTATCACGAGCGAAATGGGAACAATGATGCATCATTTGTTCTCAGCTCTCGGTTCCTATCGATATCCTGGCGCTCTGAGCTTGGTCCATAGAGACCTGAATGCGTTAAAGGGGCAGTTACACCGAACCAATGTCCTGGAGTTTATAGGCAAAGATAAGTGGGAAGCGCTCAATACATCGCAACAGTTCAAAAATTTGATGAGGTTTATGGCGACGTACGATTATATGAACTTTCCAGACAACGAGGCCATATTACAAACAGTCTACCTGGTCCTTCTTGAGGAGTTAATAAACTGGGAACGAAATCTTGCTCTGGCCGAGGGTATTTCGCAATGGTTTATAGAATTTGTGGACGATTTTTATAAGACTATGGATCTAAAAGCAAGAAGCTTTGTTACGGACAAGACAACGAAGATCATTCAGAAAGCTGGCGGGCTCACTAGATCGGCGCGGATTCAGGAAGTAGCAGAGGCGATACAGGCCCAAATCCCTGGCACACTGAGAAGTTCATGGATGGATTCTATAGGCCAGAAACCAGGTGCTGATCTTTTCTTAGGTCAAGTACCACAAGCCGGATCTACATGAAGGCTAGCGAGTAGACAAAATAGATAGAAGCATTGGGTACTTAAGTAGATCTTTCCTTAGACAGACGCTAATCCGAAGCACGTTATTCTTGACATCATAAAGTCGGCATCTGGCCAAATAGCAAGTCTTCCCCTGATTTTCCAGGTTTTATGAACTCTCTATTTTGCTAACGAACTTCTAAGAGAACACGCGAATGTTATTCTGTTATTAAAAGTAACTAGATCCGCTTCGTTTTCTCTTGACGAGGATCTAAACAATATGAGCGTTATTTTGTAACCAAGAGTACTTCGGAATTGTATTGGGAAAATTGGCATGAGAAATAGGCCACCTTCACAATGCTACCCATTAATATAATAGTGACCAACCCTGCTTCTCTTCGTTTTACCTTCCTAGGCCAACTTTGACCGCGCAAGTTTGTTACGACAACAGAGATGATTGACGACCTTGGCGAGATCAATACGTGGGAGCGTGAGATGAATACCTGGGAGCGTGAGATGAATACCTGGGAGCGTGAGATGAATAAGAAGAGGTTGAAAGATGTTCGAGCTGAAGTCCGTGATATAATGAGTAGTCATTGGTTGTACAGCCCGCCGGGAAGTTGGGAAATCAAGTCGGCTTATGTCCCTCATCTTGGAACGATGAGGTAGGTTTTAATTCAACGGTTGCATTGTACTCATAAGATAATTTTGGTTGCTATTGAGTGTGAAAACGTTTGAACGTAGCAAGTGAAGCTGGTCTACCTAGTAGTAATAATTGACGTGGACGTCTCTTTAAGTTCGTTTGTGTCTTCACATGATCCAGCGAACCGTTCTGCAGTTAGGTTAAACTACTCCCAAACCTATCTAGCCCGATGCCATATCGCACCCAGGACAAGTCGGACAAAATCCATCAAAATCTCGGTACCGGTGAAGGAGATGAGGGGGGTCGGACATTCCTTCTCCGATTTGTTGATCGCCTACCAGTATTAATCTTGGCAACGAACACAAAATCAACGTACAATCTATGTGCCAGCTTCGCCAGCCAATACGCGGCAATTACTAAATCTTTTCCAACTCATTGTGGATGTATCTAGTACGCCGACACTAATCTGGAGCTTGGTTTAGCATTTGATCTTTGTGACAACTTTAATCTTATGCTTCAACTGAGTGAGTTAGACCAAACGGTTTCTTCAGTTCAAGAGGTGGAAGTATGGATCCGTATGAGAATGAGAAATCCTTGACTTGTTATTGGAACTTCACAGGATGAAGGAGCTAACGAAAAACGCGTATAGTACAGCAAGTTACTCCATATGGCAAATATCTGATTTAGGATATAATCAGTCAGTTAACCGAAGGCTCTGAGGGAAGGATTGTATTTATCAATACTTGGTTTGGGTGGTACCAATCTTTCAACATGTGGCGCAAGCAGACCGTTTGGGATCAATCTGCGTTGCGATATGTAACCATCAAGCAAAACCCATCCACTTGGAAAATCATCGCAATATCCATTGTCGGGACCGAATGCAACAACTGAGGCATTATTCTAATTTATTGGTGTTCAGCTCCTTCATGTACTCAATTTTTAGTATCAAATGTAGAAATATCCAACTGCGCCGTCGTCATAAGCGACCAATCATTTCGCATCTAACGGCCCGCCTCGCGAGATATGAGATGAACTTCGGGACCGACAAGATGTCGATATGCAACAAATCTTTCGAAAGAAATGTCCATTGGCTGATATTGGTGCTATATTCATTGCTTTGCGAAGCACACATGGTTCTAGATGTTTCGTTTGACTCGGGCAACCAAATGGTAATATATGGAGCTTGCCCCCATCATGGAAGTCAAAGGAGAATGCTTGTCGCCAGTGTTGGCAGCATTCTAGATTCAGTCTCTGATGGTTTATCCTAAATTTTCCTCGAAATCAGAAGATATGTGAGTTTTCTGGCTCTGCTTTCTTTCTCGTTGTTTCTTATCCCGTCGAGCCTATACACTTTTCATATTGTTGCACAAATGCTGGAAAAGGGGCTTAACGATATTCGCCCACCTTTGACATTGAGTATCATGTTCCCAAGTTCCCAAACACTCATCACACAATACCAACACAACAATACACAGGATAAATTCTTGCAAGCTTAGCAATGCGGCAGTAAGAAGTTTGCTACGCCGTGATTCTTTATGCTACTGAGGTTAAAATTCGGACGCCGGGGCTTCGGACGCATGCATTTTGTGATATAAATTCTTACAAAGCATATTCATCAAGACGTTGTAGTTTCGGAACTTCGGTCTATTCTCTCATATCTCGTTAATGAATCTGGCTCTGGCACCCCTCGTTCCCGTTGTGTCTTGCTTTCAGTCTCTTCTCTCACAATAATGCTATGCCACCAACTACCGCAAGTAGCAACCGTTGGTGCATGAACTAATGCTAAATCTGATCTGGCATTCTTCCTTCAGTTTTCATCCATACATCATATGAATCTTTAAATCATTTCAAAACAGATCAAACAATGAGACTCTCAATTCTGAAGCCAAACCATTGCTAAATGAAATTGACTACAAATGTTAAGAGTTGAGGAGCGCTCCGATAGTCGATGCTCCCATTGTTACAGCGAGTCGGTACGCTTTTCAACCTTCGTTAATGAACATTTTATCTCTACAGTCTAAAAAGTGAAAGGGCTCATTCTATTCTCCGGCATGATCGCCCTCACTTTTATAAAATCCGAATTCTCCGTGTACAAAAGCAGTATACATTCTCCCCCCCACGTGGTTCGGACATACCGGCGAACAAAATACTCCGACTCGGTTTTAGCACACAGCAGATCTAGAAACAACTTCCCATCTTCCCATGCTCCCATCCAGAGGTGGACGCATACACGACTCCTTATCTCATATTCCTCATAGCTGACATCACTCAATTCCTGCACTCTAATCCTCCTCTACTTCAAGAAGTTATGACCAACACCATCATTCATTCCCCAAGCAAATCCAAGCACGGCGGCATTCTTGATGTAAAAAACAAACCGCAATAGTCTATAATTATCGTTTAGACCCCTATGTACTCTGTCTTTAGCCTCATCCGCGTCTCCTTTTCTCTTGCTTGGCATTCCTCGAAACTACTTCAACATTCGCAGTGGGAAAAAGCAAAAACAATACATACAACAGTGGGGATTCGCTGGTGGTCACCCACCCAACTACTAATCCACCGATCTGAAGCTTGTGTATGGCAGAGCGGACGGGATGCCCAATTCTCTTCAGTCTATGGTCGTATGTGATAGACGGTGTTGCATTTCAATATTAATACTAAAGCTAAATCAAATCTCATCAGCAAACATCAATGGTACTCAGAAGGTCCAACATACCGTATGGTTTCAAGATGGAGAGTCTGACCCATTTCCACAAAGCTTCTCCGCGCGCCTGACATATTGCCTCGTCCTTATATACCAACTTCCAGAACGAGAGAGCAGCGATAGCTTGTAACATACCTTGCTGGAAATTTCTCGACGAGATGGTGAAGTGCCTCATGGGTAGATTTTCAACAATCAGAATGTACTTCTCAGGACTGTGTCAAGCTGTACCAAGTTTCGAACGCATAGATTTCCAAACATTGGCTTCTTATACCCTTTGTTTCTGCTCTGACAAACCATATAAGCCGTCAATCATCCTGGCCCCTAATTGCTTAAAAATAAGGAGAACCTTTTGACCGATTCCTTCGACGACTTTGCCTGATCTGAGCTGCATTGACAAAGCTCTTTCGTGAGCGAGAGATCATGCGTATATCATCCGCTGAGAGATACCAAACTCTGATTCTACTTCATTCCAAGTGCTTAATTGCATATAAATACACAAACAAGCGCATCTTCTTTAAAGATTACAAGAGACCCAGCATGCGAGCAAAGACCTATCACTAGCTTTCCTGAAACAGTTATTTTTATTCTATGGGGAAGGAGATTACTAATTGGCTTCTACGCGCTGACACCATTCTAGTAGTTTCCCCTCACACCAACGCTTTCTACAACATCTCTGGTATCTCTTAGCTCTTCATACAGAGCCTAAGCCATGATTTATGAGGACGATGGCATATTTGACGTTTTTGACAGGTTCAGCGTCGGACCTGGAGACAATTGCTTTGTAATTTTGCATCAATGACAGTACTGACTCTGACAGTTACCACAGTAAGAATGCAGTATTATCAAAAATCTATTCTCGCATATGAGAAGAGAACATCCATTCCACGTATATCATTTTGCAAACCTATACCATTTCCCAATCAAAATTTACCGTATGCTTACCTACCATCCATGTCGAGAAAGCTTTGGATCTACGAAGAAGGATTTTGAGCATTCACACAGCTGAACACTCCAGATAACTTCACAACTGCAGCTCCACGTCAATATCGGGACACTTCTTGTCAACTCGAGTATGGCCTCCTCCCTCAACACACCGTTGTTCTGGCAGTTCACATTTTGAAAGATACCCATTTCAGGCCGTGAAAGACGAGAGGGGACCGACATAGCCGAATCGCGACTTTGGAATCTGCTGGCTGTGTTTTTAGCTACTCTTTACGGTGTCCTTATGATTGGCTGTGCTCATCGTTCCTGTCACAAGACATTACATTCATATCTTTGTAATCCAGGATGGCAATTAGGATAAGTTGAGCGATGAGTCTAGGGCCAATATATTCAAAATAGAGATGCACGAGATCTAGCTTTGAATAGTTCTGACATACGCAAATGATTTGGTGGAACCATATCATGAGGCAGTTAAAAGCATATAGAGATCTAACCATATGGAAAAGCATCGCATAACGACAATTCTCAATATAGAACTAGATCTAGTGTAACAAGAGTGTTTTCTCTACTTCCCCTTTGATCCAGTACCTATGCGCTGGGTGGCTATCTAATCATTTTAAAAGACTGACTGGCTGACTTTGATGAACATTGAGATTTCAAAGCCGGCAAAACCCACAACTGGAACCATAAGTGCTTTTCGAAATGCAGAATTAAGCTATACATTCATCAAATACTGTAAATGTAAGTCAATGCGCGAAAGGTTACTTCCTTCACATTCCCCCTGCCAATGTCGAGACGGTATGTCATAGATAGCCGCAGAGCTCACTCATCCATCGATCTTCATCAGAAAACTTCAAAGATCAAGATTGATGGTGTATACATAACACTCATGTTAAAGTCAAAAAAATAGTACGAAGCTCTAAGTTTTTCCCAATATCTGTTTGATAAATTTCTCCTATCACCTTAGGGAACTAAAACATGCACACACCTATATATATAAGGCAAACTAAGTACATAGGGTATCAATCCTTATATCCATCGACTATCTGAATTAAAGAGAAAAGAAAGCCCTGGGTATATTAGAAATGGTGTAATATGCATGCTCCTGCACACATTTCAAAACATAGCAAAGGGTCCGACTGTATCAAACCCGGTACCACCCCCTTTCCACAGCGAGTCAAGCAATCGAAGTATTGATGCGTTAATCTGTACATGAGCTCCTGACCGTCTATCTCAACATTATCTCGTAATGGAGGGGGGTGTTCACGTAAAATGCAAATGCGATTGTTCTAGCATTTTGTTTCGTCAACATCGTATCGTACAGGAATAATTAAAAGAAGATCTGGAATCTTCGTATTATACATAGCTGATTCGAATATAGTTAATTATGATGAAATTATGTT